TTATTTTCATTAAAATTTAAATTATTTATAAAAACAAATAATTGGTATTTTAATAATTATAATAAAAAAATTAATATATATATATATATATATTATGTAAATGTACTTGAATACCAGTATTAATGTGAAATTTAATCTTAATTTCACTTTCATGTATATATTTTTATGGGGGAAAATGAACGACAAGCAAAGAAGAAATAAAATTTACGTCTTAGGAAAAACACTCCAAAGGCATTAGCCTTCAACTTGGTTATAATTTCACTTTTATATTTGTCTTAATTCATCTCTATTAACCTCCTTTAATTAATTTTACATGTTGAGTTTTCTTCAGAATATAATTAATTAGAAAATTGAACAGAGATGACAATAAATAAATAAATAAAAGTAAAAAAGACTTGAATACAAGTATTAAATCTGAAATTTGATCTTAATTTCACTTTCATATTTGTTTTAATTAGTTATTGACATCTAAATTAATTCACCTACTCTGATTAATTTTACATTTTGAATTTTTCAAAATATAATTACTAAGAAAAGTTGAATAAAGATGTCAATAAATAAAACATAAAAATGTAAAATGGACTTGAATGCAAATATTAAATGTGAACTTTAATTTTAATTTCACTTTCATATTTGTTTTAATTATTGTTAACTCTATTTACCTCTTCTAATTAATTTTACATTTTATTTTTTAAAAATATATATATTATTAATTAGAAAAGTTGGAATAGAGATAACAATAAATAAATAACAAAACAAAAAGGTAACGAGTTAATATTATGAAAATTTGCGGAAAATTTAAGCCAATTTATGAAAACATAGTTAAAAGTAATGAGTTTCTATTATTTTACACTTATTTTGTTCTTACTTTTTAACATCACTTTTTTTACAAATAAAAAAAAAGTGAGACTGAGACTTGTGAAAGAAAAGGTAACTAGGAAGAGATAAGACGGTTTGAAGTTTGAATGTTAGGAAGGCCAAATTGTATTAGAGACTTGTGAAAGAAAAACTAGTTTGAGCCAATTATAGGAAATTATATGAATTGGCCATGATATGTGAAGGGGGAGGAAAAAATCTGAGACATTCCTCTCAAATAGGAAAGGACCATGATCTAAAGTGCATGTTGAATAATGAAGTTGTGAATGGAGAAGGAGCAACATGCGGTGGCTCTACTCCTATTAACAAGAAGCTAATTGCAGAAAGGGACCCAAATAAAGAAAGTGATTCATAAAGAAAAGTTAAGGATCGTGTGAGTGATTGGGAGAGGGACCAAGAAAAATTGAGACATGATGATGATTGTATGTTGTGTGATGACCCCATTTTCCATTTAGAGTGTTTGTCCTGTGCCATTACCTTTTTGAAGTTTCTGTTATTTCGTTTTCACAAAATCTGGCCCAGTAACCACAAATATTTGGACCACTCATTTCTCGTATAGAGAGAACAAAACATTCATGTCAGAATCTGTCATCTACTGCACCAAGTAGCTCTTGAGGCATCAGAAAGACAACTTTCAAGTTATGTCACTTGTATTTGTATGTAACGACCATAGGCTTAAACAGACATACCTTGTTGAATTAGTGTCCTGAATAATATAATTATGACCATACAAGAGGTCATGATGATCTTGTGGTTCTTGATAGGAGTTTTCATTTTCAATTCCCATATATCGCTGCCACTGGTAGTTCTGCATGTTTGTGCAAAGCCCCACACATAAGAGATGAAATGCGCCATAAAGAAAACAACAAAAACATGAATTTAAAGTGATTTGCTAGTTTTTACCTATGTACACAAAAACGCATCAACAATTTTTTATTTATTATGTTATAATAATAATAACATGTTAAACAAAGATTACAAGTTTTAGAGATAAATTTAAAAATCCTCCTAAAATTAATGGTGTATCACTTTACAAGGAATGATAAAAGTTTAATAGGTGACCTTTCCTTTCACTTGATATACTCCTTGATATTATATACCACAAGTGATATGAGATAGTTCCAATTAAAACATTTAATCCTTATTAATAATTTGAGACATTTATGTTCAAATTAGTTAATTTCATATATGGTTTGATTAATATCAAGATATACGACGAAGCCAATATATATATATATATGGACACCAAATATGTTGGAGAAAAAGATAGGAGAAGATGAATGATATGACCTGTTGATAGAGAGAAAAGATAGTATTATATGAATTGTTATATAATCTTTATATCTCTTGTATATAACAATGAGCCATCACACTGTAAACGGTGAAATTATGAAAGATCTCTTGCTATATAAAGTAATTTCGGTTTCTCATGAACTTGTAGAGATTGACAAGATTAATCGCATCTTCTTAACTAAGTGTGTTTGAATTCACACGTTTTGGTCAAGTTGAACGCATATAGACGTGAATTAACATTAACAAGTTGAACGCATCCATATATTTCTAAAATCAATTAATATCATTAACTATTCCAACCCAGCCCTTACCATTGACATGAATTTCAGATTTCCATTGTACATAACTTGATGAGAATATTATTAATGCATTTATTCTTCATGAACATAAAATATGTGTTTATTAAGGGCAAAAAAGGGAAAACTTGAGCTGAATTTATATGTAGTCTGCTATCATTTAAGTTATTTGAAACCCTAGAAATTAATTATTTTCAAGAAAAACCATTAATTTGACAAGAAACATGTGTTACACCTTATTCTTTTTTATAATTGATCACGGTTGAATGTTTATAAACCATTTTTTTTGTTATTTATTTGTCCAACGAATTTCTCGTGCTTTTGATTGCATAATCAACTAAGGTATAAGAAGTGGTCATACATATTGTGACTATATGAGACAAAGGTAGTGTGATATGATTACTTAATATTAATGCATTTGCTTATATATCTTTTTAGAATACTTGCAACTATATATAAGGCAATGTATATGTGCTACTGGTGATTAACATAATAAGTGGTAGTTACACAATATTTATATAGAATATTTGTTAAATATTTTGTAATCATTAATACATATATGTTATAGAAAACTACTTTTATGAAATGTTTCTTAAAAATTATTTGGGTATTACTTATACCTTTTTATATATATACAATATCTATAAAAAAATTAAAAAAAAAAACATAAAACATGGAACCGAAGTCAGGAGCAGATAAATATATATAAAACCCACCAGTCATCTCAACCTGATGACATTAAACATTGTTAATCAGCGACCTAAAAAATCAAGTAGTTAATAACAACATCAGCATTGAATAATTGAATTTCCAATAAGAAACAATAAAAAGGCTTCCAAAATTGGATTACCCAATAACGCTTAGTAAACCTGCTAGAGATATACATAGACAGAAATATCCCAAGCAACAACTCTAGTAAAATTCTAATTCAGTAAATTATCTCTATTATTATAATACAGGCTATAGGCACATACGTAGCCAAACCAAGTATTAATCCAAATTTGCAGAAAAAGCAAAGATGGATGGATCCGTTAACTGATTGATGTCAGTGATAAGCAGGAAAAGCAGTGGCTCCAACAAAGCATGTCCTCTTTACAAAACGACCTTTCATTCTAGGCCTTTTCTCTGCGTTCAACTTCCTTACTTCATATCTTATCTTCTTTGCAAACAAACGAGTCCTTCTCTTCTCTCTATATCTCGACACTCTTGCTTCTCTTCCCCCATCTAGGTGCCCCCTTAAGCTTCTCATTTCTCCATCTACACCACTCAAACCCTGAAAACGACAAACAAAAGAAAACCCACTTATCAATCATAGATGATATATAGATGTAATTGTGCATGCATATAATTGGTTTAAGTTGGGAGGCCTCCAACATCCATTCAAAAAATTAAACTGAAAAAAAAATGATTGTCAGTTGGGTTCAATAGTAAATGGAGTTTTGCCTCATCTTGAAACTGAATTAATTTGAAATGAAAGAAAAAGGAGGGCTACTTTGCAAACTCGATTTGCCAAATATAAAGTTCATCCAAACTTAAGTATGCAAATTTTAATCCAAACATGCACACAATTATCATTGAAAAAAGAAAGTTAAGTAGTAGTACCAAGCAAAAGTCATAATCAGAGTTGAACTTAGGTGGGTTTGGAGTTGTCCATGGAGAAGAACCTTGGCTAGACCAAGCAGTAATAACCTCATCATAGTTTAGTCTCAAAAATATGTCTCTCTTTGTTCCCCCTTCTTCATTAATAACCCCACCATCACACGCCACCACACCCTCCTCCTTCTCTTCCCGTGCAGCCGACAACACAGACTCAATGTTATTCCAACGAAACGCATCATCATTTGTCATGTCAAAAACCGACTCAAGATAACACGCTACATCACCATCAACTTCCTCTTCATCCTTAACCTTCACCATTGCACCTTCCACTCCCACACTCGCACTTATTTCATCGTCTTCTTTATCAAGTAGGCTTTCAACATCAGCAGCAAACTCGGCAAAATCCATGTCAGAAAAACTGTCCAAGTCATCGGTTCTCATTTCAAAAGGGTCAAATTCAAGCACAGGCACACGACACAGCATCTGTTCCTCTGTCTCATCGTTATCCACAACCACCGGTTCTTCCCCTCCGAGCTCCGGCACGAGGGGAAGAACACTGTTGTTGTTGAAGAGCACTTCGTCTTTGAGACGTTGTTGCAGTGCGAAGTGTTTGTTGTTGTTGTGACGCGGGGTTCTTGCCTTGCGTGTGAATCCACTGTGCCATGCGTGCGTGGTGGTGGTTACCTTGGAGGATGCGGTTTGAATCCGAACCCTTTCGTGCCTGCTTGCTAACTGGTTGGCGGAGTGAACCAAAGTGTCGCAGCCATGGCAGAGAAAAGCATCGTCAGCTGCACAGAACCACCTTGCCCTTCTGCGGATGCAGCTGTCGCAGGCTCGTGCTGTCTTGCCTCCCAAGGCACCTGTGTCTTTCATGTCTCTCATCGTAGAAACCTTTCTATGTGTTTTTGGTTTGTCAAGTGTGAAATGCTAATAACAATGGAATATTGAAGTGCGCTTTTCGTTTATTTATTTCCTTAGAATCAGGTAGGCAAATGGTTCAATTATTGTTGGTGTGTGTTGAGACTTGACAGCGTACGTAGTGTGGCACTGGGGCCTGTCGTTTTTATTTTTTTGTGCTTAGGGTTTGTTCATCCCAGACTCAAAAACTCATTTCCCCTAATTAATAAACATTTTTTAGACTTAATTTTCTTAAGAAAGATCTCCCGTTTAAATTTTAATTATACATGAAAAAACATAATTAAAAGAAAATATATTACAAAGTTGATTGGCCAATTTCTCTTACAGTCTTACTACTTTCTCTCAAATCTCAATCTGTCCATGCACTTTTGGTAATTTCCAGTGGAGGTTCATGGGACCCACCATTTGGCCTCATCCCAGTGTTTATTGGCTGGAGATTTGATGTTCATCTTGTTCTCTGAAATCCCATTGGTTGCCTTTCTAATTATGGGATTTCTCATGGACCCATTTGGTAGGGACCTACTACTCTACTAGGGTTAGTATGAGTTGTGCATTAAAATTTGAGTACGACCCATTTGTTGTGTTACTTTTATAATTCAATAATTCCTGGTAGAACATTAAATTTCCAATTTGTGGTCCCTGGCATGAGGCTGCTTTCACTTCACCAGCGGTTGCCTTCTACCCATCCCTTGTCCTTGTCATAGTGCATTTTCAACCAATGGATGCTGGGCGGTGCTTGAATATGTATTATTCATTTATTCTGGTTAACTAATTTTGATACTAACTCTCAGTTTTAGAGCTCGTTACTTCTGTTTAAGAAAAATCTAAACCATAATTAAAGCATGGTTTGTGTTTGCTAATGATTTAGTTAAATATGGTAATAGGGGGTTTTGTCTTGCTTTCTCCCTTTATCTTACATTGGTGGCTGAGTTTTTTCGATCATAAAACCCACTAATTTTAATTTGTCACTTTCTATTCATTTTCTTTTGCACGCCATACGTACGTAAACATTGGTGTTAAGGGTAGGAAAGGAAAATTAATGTGCATAATTAACCTGGTCACCAGCACAGAAACGGATATATTGCCTACCAATGGGTTCAAATTTGAAGTATGGTTAGTTCAATCATAATGTCAATTTTTACGTAGCAGTATCTTCTGAGTAAGTTATGCTTAACTTAGATTTCCACGGATGAAAGGACTATTTTGATGTAACAGATAGAATTAACTCCGAGTGTTGACATTTTAGGAATCAATACAAAGAATAGTTCACCACAGAATTTTGCATTTTTTTTGGGCCAGTAAGTATTCTAAATACCAAAACCATAAATTACAACCTAGTAGCAACAGAATGGACTAGTGAAAAGTCATGGTTGGAATTCCAATTCAGAAGCACATTTAGACATTCACATTCTAGGTGCTACCTATAGTCTATCCTATCATGCAAAATTAACAGGGGGAAAACGGGGGACAAATGCATATATAGAATAAAATTTATGTCTACTCACTACACCAAAATTATTTTTTTTTCAATTAATTTATTATTTAGCGGCCATATAAATGACTATTATTTTTTTACCAGCATTTAAATAAAGGCTGGTGTATCCAATATCGTTAATACTATTATCGGCATTTATATAAAATGCTGGTAAAGATCTATTAAATTGTCGAGAAAACTTATTTTTTTTAGTGGCAATTCTAGTAGCCATTTTAAAGGCTATTAAAAGTTATTTTTTCAATTGTCTCCTTTACTTTAAATAATTTATTCCTATAATTTTCTTTTCTAAATTCATAACTTATATACTTTTTTTTATCTCTACTCGATGTGGAATTTGTAAGATAAGGGTTGTCTTTTATTTATATATTTTTTAATTAATTTTTTTAATTGTCTTGTCTTTTAAGAAATGTGAGATTTATAAGATGAAAGTTGCTCTCTAATTGTTTTATAACATTATTGAATTTGGTAATAATAGGTGATTTGATATCAATTTAAAATAGTGAATTAGGAGTCAACCCTATAAAATGAACCTGTAAGGTGATAGTTATTACTCACTTATATACTATTTAATTATCTTATCTCTAATCGATGTGAGAATTAAGTTTTTTCTAATAAATAATTGTCGTTAATAATAAATTTTAATGTAATATAAATATATTTTTAGTGACTATTATATATTAGTCATTAATATTTTTATATATGACGACAATTAAATTATTATCTTTAAATAATTATCATTAATAACAAATTTTGTTGCAGTGACTATACATAACGCGTGGCATGTGGATAAAAGCCTAAAGTGCCGAGGAACATTGTTAATATCAATCTGATAGCGGTATTTTAAAATCTTCATAATCGATGGAATAATAGTAGAAAGTTATTTTATGACACCTGTTCTCATTCAACGTCAACATGAATGCAAATGATCGATCAGATATTCCTACCAAAACATGTAGCTGGTAAAAATAGCTATCACTCAGATGATGTTTTGCTTATAATTGCTTCTTCCCGTCAGATTTTATCAGCATTATTGGCTTGGAACTTTCTTTTACTTATTGTTTTCTAATACATGAACCGAACCGTTACTAATCTTGTCACCTACACTTTTTATAGAAAGAAAACCTAAAAAAGAATGAAGAGTAATCCTTTAAATAAAATTCCGATATGGGATAGCATGTAGTAAACAAAGTTACTTGTGAGGTTTTTCAATAATAATTGTATAAGAAATGCATGCATTTAAAAACAATTTTTCTAAATAATTGTAAGTTTCTCTTACCTCCTAAATTAATTCATTTGAATAAGTACAAATTTGCAAAACTTACCTTCAGAATTTTTACATATGATTTGAGAAGTAATAAATTAAACGTATATAATAAAATAAATTTAACGCAGTTGCAGCAACAAATTAATATCAATATTTTTTACAATCAAACCCTTCTAAATCAAGGGTATAAACTACAGGTCCTCCAGACCGATAAATGGAATTCCACCATGATCAAGTGGGCATAACAGTGGTCTCAATTAACAACTCAAACCCATGAGAATAGAAACAAATTTTACAATAGAAAATCAAAGATGAGAAACATCAAAAAAAGAAAAAAAAAAAACAATGGCTTTGTACAAAAGTTTTGTACACCAAAAGTTGAATACAAGATATGGGTTATTGTACTCAAACTTCCAACGCTTGATTAAATCAGAAAATAAAGGATAAATTTTAACACGAATAATTGCAGCACATTGATCAAAATTTGATCAACCCTTCCGAAGGTGGCACGAGTACTCAGAGCAGCCTTAGAAACTGGCAGTGGCAAGAAGGAGGATGGCTTTGGAGACACAACAAATGGGTCTACATGATATGGTGACAAGGAAGGTGAACATGATACTCCACTATGACTTTGATTATCTACAACAAACAAACAAAAGTTGAAAAGAAAAGAAAAATATAATTAAGATGTAAAAACAAATCAGTTATCTGAAACTTATGCAGCTCTTGTTGTAGAGATGATCATGTTTACTAGTAAAGTAGTTACCCGGACATTGGAGGTAAGAAGAGTTCTTCATACTGCAAAAACAACAACTTGTGTTAAAAAGCATTTAATTTTCTAGGGCTTATAGTATAGTTGAAATTGATGCTATGATTTTTTAGCATATGCTAGGGCTTATAGTTATTATGAGCATTCAACTTGCTTACCTACTGAGAATTTTGCCGCCCCTATGGCCACGGTAAACACATTGGCTCACATTGCAACCTGTTTTTGAATGCTCCACATATTCATCGCCGATAATAAGATTGGATCCTTTGCAACGTAAATTATAGCAGGGTACATCCAGTCCAGAAGGAACACATCGCATCCTAGTTAAATTAAGAGAGTAAGCAACCACACTTCGACTTAAATTTTGTAATTTAAAGTCAAATTTTAATTTGCAAGCAGATGTAAGTATCTTACTTGATATCCATTGATTCACAAGTGCATTTGATGCAGTTGCTGGCAGTTAATGTATATGAGCCATTTGGGACCATCATACTCTCATTGTACCAATTCAAGGTTGCTGATGAACATGCTGCAAAGAACGGTAGTACAAGTCTAAAGAATATTATGTCAATGTAGTAATTATTATGTAGCTGATGAATCACTATATCTAATGAAATTTTCCTTACTTGGAAAAATATTCCTAACGTACCTCTGTTCCATGTGACAGAATCCTATATTTTATGAAACAATTTAGTTGAAACGCGAATAGATTAATAACTTATCTTTTTTCAAGAGAAAGGAATCTTATTCATTCCCTAATCATCCTTCGGGATTATTGCATAGCAGAGAAAGCCCTATGGACCTTAATTTCTTGAAAAAGAAGGTAACATAAATAAAAGATGAAATTTTTACGTAAATATTATTTTTTTTTTAAAAAAATACCCAAATAACCACTGTGCAGGTTTATTTACACAGATAGAACCATTCACTGTTCAAGCTTAGAATTCGGTTCCCGGGGAACCGAATTCTGAGCATCAAAGTGTATTTTTTTTTGTTTTTTCAACTCAGAATTCAGTTCCCCGGGAACCGAATTCTGAGTTGGTTTTATATATATTTTTTTTTTCGTGTTTGCAGGGAAACGTGGGCAGATGTTGGAAGCGGAACGGCCTGTTCCGAAAGCAGAACGGACCGTTCTGCTTAAAGGAACAGAGTGAAATTTCTGAAAGTGAAACGGGACAAGAACGGGCCGTTCCAGCGTTAAGAACGGGCTGTTCTTGGCCCGTTTCACTTTCAGAAATTTCACTTTGTTCCTTTAAGCAGAACGGCCCGTTCTGCTTTCGGAACGGGCCGTTCCGCTTCCGGGTCTGCCCACGTTTCCCTGCGAACACGAAAAAAAATATATATATAAAACCAACTCAGAATTCGGTTCCCCGGGAACCGAATTCTGAGTTGAAAAAACAAAAAAAAATACACTTTGGTGCTCAGAATTTGGTTCCCCGGGAACCGAATTCTGAGCTTGAATAGTGAATGGTTCTATCTGTGTAAATAAACCTGCATAGTGGTTAATTGGGTAATTTTTTTTTTTAAAATAATATTTACGTAAAAAATTCAATAAAAGATACAAGAAATTAACAGTATATATATGTCCCTTATTTTATTTGTATTATTGTGTTATTTATGTTTTACACTTTTTTCTTGGATCAGAAATTTGAGGGTGTAACATTAGGGCTAAACCACATCCAAATTCTAATAGAGCTGTGTGGTTGGCACATACGACTTGATTATCAGAGATCCGCTGTTTGATTGTTTGTCTTTTATTTATTTATTTCTTTCTTGTACCTTTCTCTGAAGTACTAAGATAGTCTGTGAAAAGTTAGTACATGAGTGTGTGGCAGTGCGAGAGAGACTAGTTTTATTGTTTTTACCAACAGGGTTTATAAGCTTATAATAAAACTCTAAAAAGTACGGCGTTAATTAATTATATTGGCTCTTTTCATTTTACCATAAATATAAAAAGAAGTGTCCACAATAAATATTTCAATACACATTTTTAATACATTTCATATTATTGGTAAATTATATTCACATCGAACTAAAAAGATTCCTTTTTAAATGAAAATAATTTAAAGTTTCAATAATAAAGTATATGAAAAATCGTATTTAAATATATATATTAGTAACATTGTTAAATAAATATGTTAAAGTGTGTAATATTATTGGGGTTTAGGATTGACTAGTAGTTTTTATATTCTTTAATTTCCCCTTGAATGACACACAAAGTAGCTTTTGCTTTCTATATTTTTTTAACTTCTATATATGTATATTTTATATTAAAAAAATGCTATATTTACATAACATTAATTCTTTATCCTTTATTTTCTCATATTCCTCTCTTATTGAAGAGACAAAAACAAGTTTTAGCAATCTCTTTCTCACTTTTATATGATGATCATAAAAAAGGTGAAAAAGGCTAAGAGGAAAAAAAAAAGCGAGCTCCATCTTGCATTAAGGTTTTAAGGGAGTCATCACGACTACAATTGTGATCGCATTGATCATATTTATCAATACTATTAAAGATTGCAGGAAAATTGCAACCATAGCAGTAATTTAAAAAGATGTTTCAATAAAGTGTAATCATGCAAAACCAAAAGAAAAGGTTGAGGTGTACAACAGTACTTATATTATTAAGAAAAGTGGTGATGTATTGAAACATATATACCAACCTGCAATGGGAATAGATAGTATGTCTCCGGAATCCACTTGAGTTTCCCCAAGCCCATTCACAGTTTCCAAGTCCGAAATAGTTGTCCCAATCATTGTTGCAATGCTCCTCAAGCTCTCCCCTCTCTTCACCACATACGACATATAAATTGCGGTCCCTCCATTGTTCAAATTATTAAAGCACGTGCATGGCAGTGGAATTACAACTGTGCCTCCACTCGTCAAGGGGTTGGTGGCATTGATGCTGTTCACACTCTTAATTTGTTCACCACTGACCAACCCACCATAGCCATCTGATATGGTAGCAAGAGTGTCTGATGCATGAACAGTGTAAAGGATTGACATGGACCTTCGGATCCCATCCACACATGAACATGAAATAGGTATTTTGACTAATGATTTTGCACTGAGGATTTGGTGTGCACTTGATTCTGTTATGGGGAAGATGGAGTTTGAAGCCATGATGTCAGACACGCTTACATGGAAGCGAGTGGCAATTTCGGAGAGTTTGGAGTCCCATGGCAAGAGATAAGAGAGAAGAGAGGGACATGAGTCTGAGGAATTGCATGGTTCAATGGTGGACTTTGCTTCAACTAGACATAGATAACTGAAAAATAGGAAACACAAGATCTGAGGCCAAAGAAACTTCATATATGATTTCTCTTTTTTGGTAATTGGATTAGTCCAGAGGCGGGGAAGTAGTTATATATAGAAGATTTTAGTTGACTACATCTACCTGCCATCCTCTCAAGTCTCAATTGAACACTAAACTGTTAGGTGTGTGCATGTGATCATTTATATATACTTTTTTTTTTGGTCTAATAAGCATCATGTAAGTAAAAATTTTACACCATCATTTAATCATAAACTATTATTATGATAACTAAGAAATAAGAGATATTATGTATCTCTATTTTTTAAATAAATTAAAATTGAGATGAAAAAGACATTAAAAGAAAATAGTGATTTAGATTTATGAATAAAATAAGAGGATAAAATGATTTATATAAATATAAAACTTTATATAATAATATAAATATAGATGATATAGATTTATAGAGTTTTGTATTAATTATCTTAAGAATCATATTAATTGTGATTTTTAATTGATTTATTATATAAAATTATTTTATATTGATAGTGTATAATTATTAAACTCTATTAGTTATTATTATTTATTTAAATTATTAATATGATATTGTGGACATAATTTACCTATAAAATTATGAAATTTAATTTATTAATGAATTTTGAGATAAAGTTATTAAATAATATAATAAGTAATTTAATAAGTAATTTGATTCCTGTATAACAAGACATGTGACCAAAAAAAAAAAGTGCCACTCATCAATTAGGGCTATAAAAGCAAATAAGTATGCAATGCATAAAACGTGGGGGATTTCAGATTTTTCACGAATACCGTAACTGGGCAAGAGAAAAAGGAATTTAGGCTTACTAACCGAATGATAGATTTACTGAATCGGAGAAACATAGTTTATCGTCAATTTTCCGAATTAAGAATAAAAGAAAATTAACTCGGAGTATATAAAAATAGAAAATGTAACAGACATATTTTCTGGTCAATTCTTAATGATACCAAATCTTAATTTCGTTTTGTCTAGATATATATACATGTTGAATTTAGAACTATCTCTCTTGTTTTCATCTAACAACGACTATATTGGATTATTCATTATATATGTGACTTGGATATATGGGTGAATCTCTTCATGTTTCCATAAATTCACGGAATTTTTTAGTAGTAATTAATTGTTAGTTATTAACTACATGTGTAGTAATTAAATTGCTCCTCTTCATTTATGTTTCGGCCAAAGGGTGGACTAGGATTTTTTCCTAGATCGTGCCTTAGAGGCAAAGCATTCAAAAGTGTAATTTGTCTTCTTAACTCTAGGGTTTTGGATTTTATAGTTTCTTGTTCACGGGCCTTATGGGCCACACGTGAATATAGGGATCTCTTTAGCCGTTACAATCTGGAAAATACTTGGTGAGTGAAGGTGGGACATCGCCATTTACTGAGTGTCCAATCGGATAATGACCGAGTAAGTCTTTATGGGTGGGAGTCGATCGGTATCTGGCTCTGAGAGGGAGAGTCAGCCAAGGTTACAGTCAGGTGAGTCGGCCAAGGTTACAGTCGGGTGAGTCGGCCAAGGTTACAGTCGAGTGAGTCGGCCAAGGTTACAGTCGGGTGAGTCGGCCAAGGTTACATTCGGGTGAGATCAGGTCGTGAATCGGCCTAGGCAGTGCACAGGTTTATAGTCGGCCTCACACGCATAGTAGCCCTTATATTCGGCGATACCAATCGGCCTACAGGCGAGACGATCCACTTGCCTTCCAGCCTTGAGCCTATAAGGAGAAAAGGCTTAAGGTGTAGTCCTTATAGTCCGAGATACCAATCGGCCTACGGTCCAGTCGACGATACCAATCGGCCTACGGCCCAGTTGGTGACACCAATCGGCCTACGACAGAGTCGGTGATACCAATCGGCCTACAGGCGAGACGGTCCACTTGCCTTCCAGCCTTGAGCCTATAAGGAGAAAAGGCTTAAGGTGTAGTCCTTATAGTCCGAGATACCAATCGGCCTACGGTCCAGTCGACGATACCAATCGGCCTACGGCCCAGTTGGTGACACCAATCGGCCTACGACAGAGTCGGTGATACCAATCGGCCTACAGGCGAGACGGTCCACTTGCCTTCCAGCCTTGAGCCTATAAGGAGAAAAGGCTTAAGGTGTAGTCCTTATAGTCCGAGATACCAATCGGCCTACGGCCCAGTCGGCGATACCAATCGGCCTACGGCCGAGTCGGTGACACCAATCGGCCTACGACAGAATCGGCGATACCAATCGGCCTACAGGCGAGACGGTCCAATTTACATAAGAGTCACTAGCGCTTATATATTTTTTCCATTTACTAGAGTTTCCATTTACATAAGCTTGTTTATAAAGTCAAGGTTGCATCACTTTTCAAATTTAAATGCATGCAGTAACCTAAGTGACATTATTGACAAAACATGATTAGCACATAGACACTAGCGACAAGCATGTGAGACTGTTGCATTTAGCAACAAGTTGGTCCTCTCAACATGTTTTAGATATTTGTATCTTCGTTTTTTTCATTGTTTATTATATATGCTCCAATAACTTATTCCATAAAATCTAGTATCACTTACTGAGACTGTGAGAGAGTTAAAGATGGAAGTCTTAAAATAGTGGATTTGAGCCTAATTCAACCTTACAAAATCAGCTTGTAAGGTGAGAGTTACTTTCCACTTATATATTCTTTAATTGTCGGGTTTGGTACGTAGATAAATGGTGAGTGACCCTTTTTAATGATCTAGGATTAGTGGAACTTGAGTTTTTCTCAATACACCCCCTCTCATGTCCATGGTGCATGTATCAAAGGTAAGTGACCCATTTTTAAGAATCTAGGATAACTCTGATACCATCTTAGAATAGTAGATTTGAGTCTAACTCAACCCTACAAAATCGGCTTATAAGGTGGGGGTTACTTTCTACTTATATATTCTTTAATTGTTTTATTTTTAGTCAATGTGAGACTTGAATTTTCCCAATAAGAAGAAAAGTTTCCCAATAAGTAATAAGTTAGTTACATAGATAATAATTTGACGTTATATCTTAATTCAAAACATCAAAGGTTTCTTTGAGATGTTTTTTAATTTTAAGTTTCACAATTTTTAAAACTAAATGTATCATTATTTATGGTTTTTCTCATTTTATCCTTAGCAACGCCTTATAAATAAATGAGTAGTAGCGAAGAAAAATATTTTTACCAACTAAACACATAGTTACACAAGAAACTTAGCTCTTAATTATCTATTTAATTTTTTTCCCTTCTCCCAAACATTACCACCAAAGTATTTTTGTACATAGCCTTTTCAAACGCAAAACACTAACAAAAGAATAATTAACAATCAATATATTGGAAGTAAATGTGCGAATTAACTTTGTTTCCTTGTGAAACTATATATAAAAATGTTGTGATACTATTATATTTTAATTATTTAGTAACATTTTTTCTTATATTTGTTAAAATATTAGTATATATTGAATAAATAGGTTATTTTGTAACATTTTTTTGAAAAATATCATTATAGACAATGTAATTCTTTTCAATTGTTTTCAAAATTAAAGTCACATATCAAGTAAAAAAATTGTCATATAGGTTATTTTACAACATTTTTTTGAAAAATATTACTACAATTGTTCCTAAAATTAAAATCTTACATCAAGTAAAAAAAATATATTTCTCTCATCTTTAATTGTTACCCAAACACAAAAAACCCCAACATGCAATGCACCAAACAATGTTCATACATCATTACTAGTTCATTTTCATAAACAAAAGCAACATGCAATCATTAAATAGCTCAAATTCAACAATTCTTCTCCAAGACACCAAAACTTCAAGAACCAAAAACTCACTCAAATCAATTACAACACAATCATTAAGATACATAATTCAAGCAATGATCCAAGTAGAAATCAACATAAACAACATGAAATCAACAAGTTACAAGCTTTCCTTACCTTTAAATCATTCTAGAAAGAGGAAGAAGAGAATTTTTTTTTTTTTGTTCGTTCCTGGAGTATCCATCGCCGATAGCAGTGATTAATCTCCTCGCTACGTTGGAGGCACCTCAAAAGGTGGGATAGCTGGCCCCAAGATTTAACGCGGCTGCATACACAAGGTAGGATTCGAACTCCTGACTTTGCTTAAGCGTGGATCAACCCCTACCGCTAAACCACACGCTTGGAGTTAGAGGAAGAAGAGAATAACTAAGCCCTCCAGGAAATTTCTACTTGAAACTACCACCTCTACTTAATTCTCAACCTTCCGAGCCTTGAATCTTAACACCACTCTATAGTGACAATTGGTTAATCTTGACCTGAGCTCAAAACAACTCTTAAACAATAAAAATTTATTATGATTCTTAAATCCTTAGAGTTTTATAACTAATCATATCAACATTTAAATTAATAAAATCAATAATATTAATAAAAATACACAATGTTACAATAACGTTCTCTTCTTTTACTTTTTCCTTTATCAAGTAACTAGAAAAATCATTTCAATGATTTCGCATTTTATTAGGGATAAGCGAGAGACTAATTGAGATAAATTTATTTTTATCCTTATCTATATCAAAATTTTGATAAGATTATTTATTTAAACATGAATATGTCATAATCAAATACAAGTATATAGAGCCAAACTAGATTGACACAACATTTTAACTAATATATGTCAATAGTAATATTAATAAATTAAGTATAAAATTTAATCTCACAAAATTAATTGGAAAAATAAAAATTATATATATTATTTTTATTTTATTATTGTGTAAGACAAGGATTTTGCTAATAAATAATTTGAGTTTAGATTTTTAGTTGTAAGTTTCAAATCTGAAAATTATATTTGAATTCTTAGGATAGTCACAATATACGTGTACATCTTCATCAATGCGAAATCAAATCCATTGTAATTCTCTTTATAGGACGCATTAGGTGGGCTGGCCCTTCTTTTGTTGGGGCCTGGTGACAGTTTTTCTTTATGTCCTGATGAGGATTTTGGGCCTATGTTGACGTTCAGAACTTAAATTGAAAGCCTCGAAATTG